AGTCGCCGAATACTCTTCAAGGGTAGCCCCATGTAGAGCAAATGAACATATGTTCATTTGGGCAAAAACCTTTCCGCTTCTGCTCAATTTACAGCAATTATTCTGACAATAGCTCTAGCTTTTTAAATACTGTCAGGAATTTCATATTTCTCAGAATCTTTCAAAACATTTTCTATAAAATCTCTATAATCGTTGATATTAATTTTGTAATCAAAAATGTCACTAAATGCAACCAATTTTTTTCAGTTGCTTTCGATGGAATTACTACTACTTCAATACTCCAGTAATCTGGCTCCAAAAATTTAGAACTTGTAATTTATTCGTGTCTTGAAATTGGCTACTTGTTTTTAAATGTTCACAATCCATTAGTCTTTAAATTTGTTATGATGCTTTCTAAAAGTCTTTCCTGAGGAAGGCTAACAATGATTTTCTACAAATTTTATATTTTTGAAGGTTTCTGAAGTAATTAATCCATCAATTTTTTTTTGTATGCACCCTTTTTCTGCCTTTATGATGTCTGTATTTCTTGCTTGCAGTACATTCGAAAGAAGAGAAATGTCTTCTGGAATATCGATCATCAATACCAAATCAGTCATAAAATATATATTTTCTAGACAGGCAGCCATACCTAAGTATTTTTTATTTGAATGAAAATAGTGATGTAACGCTGGATAAGTACGTCACACAGCTAGGGTTGACCTTAAACTACAGGCAGCCCATCTTGGTCCAAAAACTACCAATCTTTATGATGTCAATTTCTAGTTCTTCAGATATTTTGTTAAGTTCAATTTGGTTCTTATTGGATTGATAAAAAATAGCACATATCAATAAATATTTTTTAATGATTTACTTGCTTTATTTCCTTTATTTAAAGGAAACAAGTTGGAGATGATGGTTTAAAAAAGTGCCATATTATGATGTTTGGAAACTCTTGCTATTCTAGTGCTCGCTCCAGATTTTCTCCCAAGCATAATGCTGGCACCATCAGAGCAAAATGCTATTAATTTTTTTTGTAGATAGTTCTTAGTAAATCCAACATTATGTAAACTTTCCATAAAAGAGCTAAAGTGGTGCAGTGGTTAGAATGCAGTACTGCAGGCTACTTCAGCTGACTTAGCTGCAGTTCAGCAGTTCAAATCTCACCAGGCTCAAGGTTGACTCAGCCTTCCACCCTTTCGAGGTGGGTAAAATGTGGACCCAGATTGTTGGAGGCAATATGCTGACTCTGTAAACTGCTTAAAGAGGTCTGTAAAAGCAATACGAAGCGATATATAAATCTAAGTGCTATTGCTATAACTGAAGAACATATTGTCTCAATCATGTTTTTCCAATTCAACTAGCTCAAGGAAAATTGTTGGTAAGTTAACTGAATCTTCAACTTTTAAGCAAAGTATAAGAACTGGTTTGCAAGATATTGTTGAGGCTTCGTCAATAATTAAACATAATTTGAGGGCTTTTTTCAGTAATTTTAGTAAATTGTTTTCTAATGACTTTTGCAATGAATCAATTATTTTCACTGCAGTTTTACATGAATGCAATCGTATTCCCAGGTCTACTCCATTTTAATTTGTGATCGTATCTCACCTTCTACGTGACAAAATGGTTTTAATCTTTGGGCGAAGTCGTAAACTATATTGAATACTTGACAAGTACTACCTAAATATTTGCATCCTGCTCACACTGTGTTAATTTCTCTGTGCAGAAGATGTGAGATTTGGATGAGATATGCTCTTTCATCTTTTTCTTAAGAGAGGCCTGTTGCACCTCTTTACTTTTCCCAGCAGCCTCTATTTCGAAACGTTTCCAAAAAGCTATTTGAACACATTTTTCTGCTCTAATGTCATATTTTTTTGCAATACTTGCAAATGTAAATGTAAATTTTAAACAGGATAAACTTTTAGTGAAATGTAGATTCACTTTAAGATATCAAATCAGATATTTAAGAAAATAAATTCCCAATATATTCAATCGCATTGAATAGACAAGCATATAAAAACTATAACTCTGACTACCTGCTATCGGTAGTAACAATTTAAGTAAGGAATATATTTCAAATTCAATAGAATATGACCGCCCCCACCCGGTCCGCCCCATTCCATAGAGTATGAATTCTTAATTTTTCCTAATCCTAATTTTTAATCCTAAAAAGGTTCGAAATTAAAATTGTTAACACAGAGCTGCGCTCCCAAGCTTCTTCCTCGTCTCCCTCCCACCCTTTTCAGGTTCTACTTCAGAGGTATTTAAACTTGGCAACTTTAAGACTTGTGGACTTCAACTCCCAGAATTCTCCAGCCAGCAGCTGGCTGCAGAAATCTGGGAATTGAAGTCCACAAGTCTTAAAGTTGCCAAGTTTGGGGACCTCTTGAGTTGCTTCCTTTAGTTCGGCGGAATTTTTCCACCTCCTGCTCTTACTCGTCTGCCTCCTTAAGCATGTGCTTCGGGACATTTTCCTGCCGCATAACGAGCTCCAGAGCGGTCTCCTCCTCGTCCACGGAGCGTACCCGGGCGGAGGTCCCACACTCGCCTCTGACCATAGGAGACGGACGGTGCCCCCGGCTCCTTCTCCCAAGGCGTTCGCTCGCCTCGGCTATCCAACCGGCTCCCTTCGCGCTTTTCTAGCTGCCCCATTTCTCCACCGCGCGGCGAAGTCCTCGTGAAGAGACCTTCCGTCCCTGAGGCAGAAATGGTTCCGGGTCAGCGAAAGCGGTAGCCGACCTGTCGCGCTCGAGGGCTGCGGAGCTTTGGAGAAGCCGGCGAAAGGGACAGTCCGAGGAACTCTGGTGGCTCTCCCAGATTGAGGCCGGAGAAGGGGTGCGCGCATGCGCAGAGACGGGAGCTCTGGTGTTATTGGCGGCGGCAATAATAGCAGGAAGCCGCTCACCATCATCGCGTGACGGGCCGCCTGCGCTCCCCTTGCTTAGATCCTCGGGAGGCGGCAGCGGGGCAGCCATGTCTCTGAACCAATATGAGAGACATTATAACTCCATCAACTCCGACTTCGGGAGCGAGTCGTCCAGTGGGACCAGCCCCCGTCCTGGTTCGGGCTTGGGAGGCGAGCAGGAGGAATTGCATTATGCCCCTATACGGGTTTTGGGTCGGGGGGCGTTCGGCGAAGCCACCCTGTATCGCCGGACTGAGGTACGTCGTTGCCCTGTAGTACAAGTTTTCTTCCTTGCATAAACCGAGGCCCCGAATTTTCCTCTAATCCCCCCTTCGCTTGTGTTTTTTTAATTATAATTTGCTTCTTTGCTTGATTGTTAAAATTCCTCATTTCTTTGAGGTGGCCCATTATCTTACATTTTGGAAGTTTAAATTGGGGTGGGAGGAAGGGCTGAAAAAAAATCCATTAAACTGTATTATGTTCGAAATATATGCAGGAAGATCTCTCTTTTTTTGCAGCTCCAGTTGCCTGAGTTTTTAGAAAGGATACATTTAACTATTAGTTGAAGTATTACAAAATGTCTGAAGAATTTCACCAAAGGGGTGGAATGACTATTACAATAGCAAGTGCAATCCATTATTATTATTAATATTGTCATCATTATTAGTAAGTTCAATATAAATAGATAAATGCTTAGACAAATCTGAACTCACACATACAAATGGAATTTCACCTGATGGCAACTGTGTAGAAAAGGGGATTTCAACAGAAAATCAGTCCTTGATTGTTGCAAAAGGCACACATTCCAAGCTGAAATTACAAAAGGGAACAAAGTGTCTATTTTATAGTGTTTTCTGTTCAAACCTACAGTTTGACCACATTTGGAATCCTGTATATTGTAAAGCCAAAGGACAACAGAATAATAACTGAAGCCACTTCCTTTTGGGATACAAATGGTTGATATTCTTTAACTTAGAAAATAGCAAAATCTAAAAATGATAGAGGTGAATAAAACAGTGCAAAGTTGGAATATAGAGAAACTTTTCCATTTCAAAATTAATAATTCACTGATTCTATAGTTATTTCATTAAGAGCTGGGATATCTACAACAGATAAAAGGTAGCACTTTTTAAGGTTACTTATATTAACTTATGGCCATAGTCCATAGATTTATTTATTTAATTAATTAGTTTGTATGCCGCCCACTCTCTAGAGACTCAGGGCGGCTTACAAGTAAAAAAGGGAAGGGGAAACATACAAAAACAAAACAACATTAAAAGGTCCACAAAATTCACACCTTAGGATGGGGCTGGAAAAAGTCAACAGCCCCAGGCCTGCCGGAACAGCCAGGTCTTAGTCACTTTGCGGAAGGCCGGAAGGGTAGTAAGGGTCCGGATCTCAACGGGGAGATCATTCCATAGGGCCGGAGCAGTTACAGAGAAGGCCCTCCCCCGGGGAGTCGCCAGCCGATATTGGCCAGCAGATGGAATCCGGAGGAGGCCTAGTCAGTGCGATCTTATGGGCCTCTGGGAGGTAACTGGCAGGAGGCAGTCTCTCAGGTAGCCAGGTCCGATACCATGTAGGGCTTTAAAAGTAGATCAGATACATAGTTTATATCCAAACTGTTTAGTCTTTGATTATGTGCCATCAAGTCAGCATCAACTTTTAGAGATCACATAGATTTTTTCCATGACAATCTGTCTCTAACTTGGTCCTTCAGGTCTTCACCCATTGCCAGCAGTTCTGGACCCATTGCTACTATAATTGAGTCAATCCACGTTGCTTCTAGTCTTCATCTTCTCTTTCCTTTCACCTGTCCTAGGATTAGGGCCTTCTCCAGGGAGCTTGGTCTTCACATCTTATGTCTGAAGTAGGATAATTTGAGCCTGGTCATTTGTTCCACTAGTGAGAATGTGGGTTGATTTCAATAAGTGATCCACTTATTTGTTTTCTTGGCTATCCGTGAGATTCTTAGGAGTCCACTCCAAAGTTCAAAAATGTCAATACTCTTCCTGCCCTGCTTCTTTGAAGTCCAACTTTCACTTTCATGGAATGTCACAGGGAATACATAATTTGAAGTGGTGATCACTAATTAGGCAAATTCATATAAGATAAAACTATCAGTAGATAGTGATGGATCTATGTTGAAGGCAATCTAGTTCTCTTAATTCAATTGCTAGGAATGACTTGGAAATTATACCACAATGGGTATTGGTTCTCCTTTGACATTTAGTTTGCCATTGTGCAAGCAGCATACAAGATTATATTGTCCTTTGGTCTGATCTAATATAACTCTACTGGCTATTCCACAATATGTACTCTGCAAACATTTCTGTTTGCTTTTCTTTTATTGGTTTGATAGATTTTCATCCAGCTTTTCCTGTTGTATATAGGAAATTTTGTACTTTTCACAAATACTTTATGAAATATATAATCTATAATCCCTAATTCTTCTTCCATATTCTATAGCAGTGATGGTGGCGAACCTATGGCACGTGTGCCACAGGTGGCATGCAGAGCCATTTGTCAGGGCACGCGAGACGCCCTATTCACCCTTTTTAAAAAGCCATTTTTCGCCCTCCCCAGGCTTCAGAGGCTTTATAGGAGCCCGGGGAGGGCGAAAAGAGCTTCTCCCCCGGGAGGCCCTCCAGAGGCTTCATGAGCTTCCCTGAAGCCTCCGGAGCAGTCAAAATGACTCTCCAAGCAAACCGGAAGTCACTTCCAGTTTGCTCAGAGGGCCGTTTTAAGCGCTCCAAAGGCTTCAGGGACCTTCAAGAGGCTTTCCTGAAGCCTCCGGAGCAGTCAGAATGACCCTACAAGCAAACTGGAAGTCAGTTCCCGAACTTCCGGTTTGCCCGTAGGGTCGGGTTTTTGCGCTCTGGAGGCTTCAGGGAAGCTCATGAAGCCTCTGGAGGGCCTCCCGGGGGAGAAGCTCTTTTCGCCCTCCCCGGGCTCCTATAAAGCCTCTGAAGCCTGGGGAGGGCGAAAA